GGTTAGCACAATATAAAAATATAATATTAACAGGAGATATAAATATTGATATATCTTCCGCATTAAAAGACTCTAGAGCCCATATTTATCTTGATCTATTAGCCTCTCATGGTATGCTACCAGCTTTTAATGTCCCCACACTTACCAATTCCTGTTTGGATGACATAATTTTAAAAACAACACAACCCGCACGTTGTCATATTGCTCACACTACTATCACAGATCATTACAGCGTAATCCTTAGCTTAAATTGGACGTGTAAAAATAGTTATCATACTAAAACAATTAATCAGCTTGACTATAAGGCCTTAGACTAAACTTTTTATGAACTAGATTTTACACCTATATACTTAATGCAAAATGTAAATGATGCAGTAACGTTTTTAAATAATATTCTAAATCAGGTTATTGACAAATGTACTAAAAATATAACGGTCACGAGACGTAATCGAACTATAAAACCTTGGATAACTCGAGGCTTGCTAAAATGTATGAAAAATAGGGACAATTTACATATAAAATCAAGAAACCATCATAATGACACAATACTTAGAACAACCTACACAAGATATAGGATTTTTTGTAATAACATACTCAAGAAGGTAAAACATGAATATGAAAAGACGGAACTTCGTAAGGCTAAATGTAACAGCAAAAAACTGTGGGAAATAATAAAAAATATAACTCACACAACTAAAATCAAAGCTCCAGCTAGAGAACTTCTTTCTAATGATCCTATGAAGTCAATTAATGACATAAATGAATATTTTGTAAACATAGGAAAGAATATAGTTGGGTCTATTCAAAAAGGCTCCACAAACTTATCTCTAGGCTCACCAGATATTTTACCTAGTAATTCATTTGTATTACATCCAGTGGACGATACGGAAATCTAATTAATTATATCAAGGCTTAAAAATAACTGCGTAGGACGGGACAATATTTCAAGTTCTCCTATAAAATGATACAAAAATATTCTTACACCTGTACTTACATATATTTGTAATCTATCTCTAAATAATGGAGTATTTCCTCATGAATTCACTGACTGACTGTGTTGATAATTATCGGCCCATTTCTGTACTGCCAGCATTTTCGAAAATTAGTATTGAATCCAAAAATCTCCTGTCACATGCACGCTTTGGTTTCTGAAATGGCAAAGCTACAAGTTACGTAGTGCAGTTTATGAGTTTTTGGGTTGTACTGTTAAACATATGGACGACAACAAAAAAAGTAATAGCAGTATATCTTGATCTGGCTGGGGCAGTTGACACGGTTTCTATTCCACTACTAATTCACAAATTATACAAGCTGGGATTCAGAGGATCGCAATTGAAATTCTTTGAAAGTTATCTCACTAACCGATCATAATGTGTTAAAATAGGAAATTGGATTAGTGATGATCTTCCCGTTTCTCATGGCGTACCACAAGGTAGTATTTTGGGTCCTACCCTGTTTTTGACCTATATAAACAACATGTGCCAGTTAAAATTGATAAATGGAACTCTTGTTTCTTATGGCGATGATACCGTGCTTTTATTCAGCGGTGATACATGGGAAGAAGCATATTTGTATGCCCAAAGAGGCCTCAATGTAATTATGAACTGGCTATCACATAATAAATTAATGCTAAATGTCTCTAAAACTAAATGTATGTCATTCACATTTAAAAAAACTTAACACACCTATTTCACCTAATTTCCGTATAAAATCACATATCTGTCATAATTATAATAATGTTATTGACTGTTCTTGTCCTTCGCTCCAAAAAGTAAATGAAATAAAGTATTTATGTTTAATAATTGACAGTAATCTGAATTTTCAAGCACACATTAATCTTCTAAATAATAGATTGCACAAGTTGATCTATATTTTTAAAAATCTTTGACATGTGGCAGACGAAACAATAATAAAATCAACTTACTTGTCACTGCCAATCATTGATTACCTATTGCATAACAGCTTGGGGTGGTACCTCTAAATCACATCTTAGATCTCTTACCAAATTAGAATGTACCCAAAGAGCACTTTTTAAGGTGATTCATTTATTTCCATTTCTCTATCCCACTAAAGACCTATACCAAAGCTGTAAAGTTCTCTCAGTCCGCCAATTATTTATTCTCCACACTATTTTAAAACAACATTCTCTGTTATATTACAATCCTTCTCTTCTTACAAATAAAAGAAATAAAAGTAAATTTGTCCCATTTTACCATACAGAAGAAGCTTTACACATAATTTCTTCTACTTCTTGGGTTCTCATCTATATAGTAAAATTAATTCCATTCTATCTATATACAAATTTCCCGAATTTAAATGCAAAAAGATGGTAACCCTATAGTTACTAAGTCAAGATTATGATGTCACTGAGGAACTATTTAAAATCATGAAATAAAACCTAAACGCTATAAACACAAGCACACACACACACACACACACACAAACATTTTTTGTGTTTTTTATATATATTTTTCTTCTCTTGTTTATCATACACCTAATATTACCTAGATTATAAGGTCTGAAGTTGGGGGCAGGTGATCTGTAATACAGGGAATCCTAGAACGGACACCAGTCTCTCACAAATTAATCGTAACATATTAATATAAAGTTGTATAATATAATGTTTATATTTATTACTAAATTTGTGAGAGGAAAGAATAAACTTATTATTTGGGGTATCTATACAATTTTCTCATCTGTTTGGGTTTTATAAATATATAATTTTAAGTTAAAATGAAAAGATAAATATACATAAATATCAATAAAATAAAATAAGTACAAAAAATACATAAGTAAATAAGATCCAAGCAGATGGAAGCCATCGGCAGGGGTACCAAACGGCCGAGGGTTAGGAGGAAAGGGAAAGAAACCGGCGGACGATGCGGGCGGTATCGAGGAGCACCAACTTCTGATTTGATTGATGATTTGAGCCCGGAGCGGTCCCTCACGGAGTCCCAGTCGCCTCAGATGACCCGAGATGCTAACTGGGATTAGCCCATTCGCAGAGACGACTACAGGAATAATTTCTTCCGGCAGACCACCCCACATGTCGGTCACCTCGCGAGCCAGGTCCAGATATGTTGTTCGTTTATCTGTTTCGGCTTTCACGAGGTTCTCGTCATACGGAATGGTAATGTCGACCAAAAATATCCTTGACTGTTCCCGGTCCATCAGTACAATATCAGCCTTACTCGCAAGAATAGTCCTGTCTGTGATGATGGCCCGGTCCCAGTATAGCCTGGTGCGATCATTTTCGAGCACGGCTTCTGGCAAGTACTTGTAATACGACAATTTCCGGTCCACGAGACCGTATTTCAGAGCGAGCTCCTGGTGTATAATTCTGGCTACTAGGTTGTGCCTATGCAAGTACTCAGAGTTAAAGACGCCGAACAACCGGAGAATGACATGCCTAGGTGACTCACCGGAATGGCGACAAGCTCGACAGATGTCGACGGTGCCGTCCTTTAGGATGTATCTCCGATAGTTGTTGGTCTTAATAACCTGATCCTGTATTGCAGAGACAAAACCCTCGGTTTCCCCAAAGAGGTCACCAAAGCATAGCCAGTGGAGGGAGGCTATTGGGTCTATGAAAAGCTCATGTAGAGCCTTGTAGAACCTCCCGTGGAGCTCCTTCTCCTTCCATACGGTTTCCCGGTCGGAAATGCTCTGCACTTCTGGGTCTTGCCATTGCTCGTTGGCTAAGGATAGAGGAGTAAGCACTTAATCACAAGAAATTACGTCTTTATAGAATGGATCATCCGACCTCGCCAGGAAGTAATTACAGAGGCTGCACACTTCGCGATTATGCATGGTGAGCACGCTCAAGAAGCCACGCCCACCATGCTTTCGTGGCAAGTACAGCCTCATTACCGACGATCTTGGATGACGCATCCTATGGGACGTCATGATAGTGCGGACTTTCCTATCCAGGGCGTTAAGTTCAGTCTGAGTCCATCTGAGTATGCCAAAGGTATACATGAGGACAGGCACGACCCAGCCATTTTATGCGTGTGCGTTATGCAAACCGGACAAAAGGCTGTTAAGCACTTTGGTCAAGCGTTCATAAAACATGTCGCAAACTGACTGTTTCATACCACCCTTATCGATACCAATTTTCTGTGACCGATACCGAGGTATCGGTTTGTTTCAGCCTCGGAAAGGGTCCTTAATTTGACGGGCATAGATAAGTCTATGCCCTCAGAGTTAGCAACCCTTCCCCTTTCAACATGGAGGACCGCACACTTATCCGTCCCCAGCTCCATTCCAATAGAATTGCTAAATTCGCAAGTGATGTTTAGCAATTCCATAAGATGGGAGCGACTGGAGGCGAATAACTTGAGGTCATCCGTATAGAAAAGGTGGGTCACTTTGTACCTCCTTTTCGAAGCTGAAATCCTCTCCCGGAGCCCTCCAGTAAAATACTGAGAGGGTGCAAAGAGAGGCAGAACCAGATTGGACTCAGACAGTCGCCCTGGATTATACCCCTTATTATCCTTATGCGGCTTTCCGCAGCCGTCATCCGCTCACGTAGTCGTAGATGACAGAGGATCGTACTCCACTGCCCTATACACTGCTCGAGGAAGTCTCGAACTGTACAGTCAATCTTGTACAGCTCGAGGACCCTCTTTAGCCATGTATGGGGCACCGAGTCAAATGTGTAATTTTGCCTTTCTGTAGTCTATCCAGGCGGCCGAGAAGTTTCGACGGTTGCGTTTCACCACTTTGCCAACGACCGCGTCAATGAGGAGTGGTTCCTTGGTTCCACGACCACCACCCGACATCCATTTTTTGAATTCGTCGGGACGAGTGATTCTCGCGCTCAAAATGGACGTTAGTGTCTTGTATATGGTCGGTAGACACGTGATGGGGCGGTATTTGCTCGGGTCTGTGGTACCCTGGTCTTTAAGAACCAAATGAGTGATCCCAGTAGTGAAGAGGCTTGGGAGCGACTTCTGGTTGAGAGCCTCTTGAAACTGTCGGGCGAGCACAGCGTGACACACCATGAACTCCTTCAGCCAGTAGTGATGCAGCCCGTCAAGACCCGGACTTTTCCAGTTCAGGGCCCTACGGACCGCCTCAGCTACGTCATCCGGCGTTATGATGACGGGGTCCATGGGCGTAATACCCGCACACTGACTCGCCACAACTTCCGCCCAAGGGCCCTCACTGTGGTTTACGGGCTCTGACCATAGGCTGCGCCAGAATGCGACCGTGTCGGCCTGATTCGGTGCTGGGCCCGTTCCACTTACCATTGGTCGCTCCAATGATTTATAAAGCCTCTTCTGATCTCTCTGGAAGAGACGATTCTGGTTGAACCGTGTCGACCTCACAGTATATCGCCGAATCCGCTTTCCCCAAGCAGCGATTCTCTGCTTTAAGTCGTCTATGCGCTCCGTCAGTTTTTGCATTATATCTGGCTGGGACAAACCAACATTTGTCCCAACAAACGCCGTCCTGATGGTGCGCACAATCCTTGGCCTGATATTGCCTGACCTGAAGCATATCAGTCTGCCGATGAGGGCCCTAGCCTTTGCGATACATTCTTCAATTCTTATTTTCAAGGCTGGGATAGCACTACTTTGTCCAGTAGCGCGTCCAGCCGTGGAAAGTTGGGCGCCTATAATACGGCAGACTGCCATTGCGGCGCCAAAAAGAATTGAGTCCGTCTCGCAAAGGTCCTGGCCGGCTTCCAAATAGGTCACCAGCATTGGGTTCAGAGCCCTCACGACAGCCCGATTCCGCTTGCTTAGGGCTATGCGGGGAAGTCGCGGTCGATTTTCGAGAGGCGTACTGCGCGTTTCCACAATCGCCTCTTCCAATGTACTCCTCATTTGCTCTAGTTCAAGTTTCTGGGCGATTGTTCCATCATCGTTTGAATCAACCACAACTGGGGTATTCACGGCGGCATCCACGTTTGCCGTTTGCTCGAAAATACTATTTCAAAATCCTTCAAATTCGTACAAAGAGCTATTTTAAATATTATTGCCTTTCGAAACATCTTATGTCCGACAATTCAGATCCATAAAGATCATAATTATCTTTTGTTTATATTACATACAGTGATGTTATATCACCGCAAGGTTCCTTATATTGAAGTCTCCCATATCTCGAAGCCGTTTATTATAACGAAATCTATTTTAATATTTCCATTAATTAACTGTCCATCATTTTTTAATTAAAATATTAGTAATCTTAATCATTAACATTACTAATATTCCTTTTAACTACTCCTGGTAAGCTTAAAAAGCTTGTGTTAGGAGCGGTTCACGACAGTAGTCAATTGGCGGATTCGAACCCACGACCTTTTGAGTTCGCGATCCGTGCCCTGCCATTAGGCTATTGTTGATTCATATATTCAATAGATTATTGAGAAAAGAGAGAGAGCAGATATTTTGTTTCTGGTCAGTAATGGAAAAGACAAGATCTAAATTTTACTTTGATTTTTGTTGCAGGCTGCAACAAAATATCTGATATATTTTTACTTAAAAGATCTACCGTTAAGATAAAATTTCCACATAAAATTATTAACTTATTACTTAGTGCAGCTTATCGATCGATGTTATTTTGTTGCTGGCTCTTCAGATCTTGCTGATTCCATTACTACCATTCTGTAACCTGGTAGAGCCATGCTGCAAGTTAGAAGTATAGTTGTAGCACAAATGGGTCGGACCGACCACGCTCTCACAGAATACCAGCGTAAAATAGCAGCTTAACGCTGTGTGTTTCGTTTGGTGAATCCGTCTTAGTCCTCACGAGTGACAACGCATCTGAATTTTGATTCATGACCGAGGATAAATGTAGATGTCTATGGTCCAGAGCAAATATTTGCCATCAGGTGAACTGTGCGCTCGTTTGTCACCCTTACCCTATAAAAAAACCATCAAGAAAATATCTGGTTTCGTTTTATTCAAAATATCTCCTGTAAAGATAGCATGTGTACAAGTAATTTGCATCTTATTACTTAGTGATTCCTGTCTATCAATTTTATTTTTTGCGGGACTCTTTTTGACTTGTTGGTTTCATAACTGACCAGCAACAAAATATCTGCCTTTTTTTTTCAAAAACAATCCTGTAGAGATAGCATTTTTTACACAACATTTATTTAATACTTTATTACTTGGTGCAGCTTATCGATCGATTTCATTATGTTGCTTGCTCATTATGATTTGCTGGTATCATAACTGACCAGCATTAAAATATTTGCTTTCTTTTTTGACATAAATATGCTGGAAAGATATCATGTGCACTAGTAATTAGTAACTTATTACTTGTATTTTTGTTGTAGGCTTTCTAGGAGTTTTGATCTATTTGTTGACCAGAAGGAAAATACTCGTAACTTTGAAACTTCAGAAACAATGTTATAACATAATTTGACTTCTAGTAATCTTTTTGTTTATATCAGAATTTTTCATATTATTTTTGCACTTTAATAATATAAATAATAATAATGCTCTGCAGATCGAATTTCGGTCACGGTGGCGTGTCTCAACGGAAATTAGCTATCGGCACAGGACAGGATTATATTGCCCAAGTGTATGCGCAATCACGGGTGCACTCTCTACGCCCTCACTCTCATTATCCGATGGGACGGTAAGCCGACACAACCAGAGAGAGATCAGGCACAGGACCAACGGCCTAACTCTGTAACGAGGCAGTCAAGTATTATATTGGAACAACAAATTAGCAACAAATTTCCTCCTTTTATCTGCTACAGTCGGGATGAATTGAAGTTTTCTCGCTTTCTTAACCCGATATTAGCAGTAATTTGATTTTCTGTTTGGAGCAACAAAATCGCGATTTTATCAACTAGTTTGCAAAAGATCTACAAATTCGTGTGTACAAGTTTAAACTTTGTGCTGACTTTTCACTGCTGGGTTTATAGGATTTAAATCCTACGAGTGATTAACCTTTCCAGGGACCTCTGAGTTTCGACAATGCCGGAAATTGTGGCTTTAAAAAGTAGTAATTAATAAGAATATTACTTGACTAAAACCCTTTATGGTAATCGTTGATAAAACCTTAGATTGATTGCCTTGAAGACGCACATTAAATACATCTAGTTTTTATGAATACTATCGCGTTTAATTAATTTATTTTTTACCCATAGATGCTTTTAATAAATTAAAATATATAAAAAGAAGTAAATAAAGCACTAACTTATATAATCCTTAAAAAATGTTATCTTAAATATAAGAAATGATTTTGAAGGCACCCTGATCGTAATCGAATGGCAATACATGTTTATTTATAAGTCATTTGTATTCCAAGCAGTATTTATGCAACAATGAAAGTTAAGGGTTGAATGTTAAAGCAGACGTGTATAAAATCGCTAAGTATGTAAAAGATTGAAACTATATATTTGAACAATATTTCGTATTCCTTACGGATTTGTCAAAAGAGAGTAAGAAACATTTAGCATACTAATCAAGCCTATATAAATACTAATTATCCAGTAAAAGAAGTCATGTTTCATCTCTTTAAGTTTTGTGAGTTGGTTAGGATCCCATAAATTACATGTCACGTGCAAACTTAGTGATAATACGATTAATTAAATATTACGCGCAAATAGTAAGTGTTTAAAATTATTTGTAAACTTTTCTTCAAAAATGTAAAAATCTAGAATAAATGTGACAAGCGAGTTCAGTCTACTTTATTATAAGTGGATGCTATGGCTCATAGAAGTATTCATCCATACTCGATTAAGAATCAAAATGCAGATTCGTTGTCACCCTTGAGGACTTAGATGGAATTACTTGTTTCCGTTTTACTCATCACACAAACCGCAGCAGCAGCAGTGTAGAGGTGAAACACGTGTCGTATTATCGTCGATGGTGTGTCTTTCCTGAATTGTGGTGTTGGAAGTAGTGGTGCCGGGAGTAGTGGTGTTGGGAATAGTGGTGCTGGGACTAGTGGTAACGAAATTAGTGCACGCAATTGAGGGAAGGCGGGAGGTGCTCTTCAATCCAGGTAAGAAACATCATTGTATTTAGTTAGCGGAAGGTTGCAAATTAATCAATATTGTTACGAGCTTGAGGTTCGTGACAATAGAAACTGCCGATTGAACTGAGAACTGAAGCCGACTGAAAACTTAAAAGACACTAGTAATTAATCACACTGATTCACTTTATTTCGCTCCGAAGCTTCGCTTGTCTCGCCAAATTCAATACTACCCCGATCGCGGTATGCGGTGGCTTTAAATACACTTTTACGCCGAAACATCAAGAATATTCCAGTGGATATGGGCGCCAACCGACCAGACGCAAAAAGTTTGAGTGTGGAGCTTCTAGAAAGCTTAATTCTTCTGTTCGATACTAGATGGTACTGTTGGACGAAAGTCAAGATTGACATTTTCTAAGAAGCCCTCCTCGCTCTGATCTCCGACACTAGATGGCGCTAGTGCCAGGTACCTGACGTCAACTTAGGCGCGCAACAATACCTTTATTATAAAGGATTTCCGCAAAGTAACGCCTGATTCTATCAATTAACCAGAAGATCAGCAGCAGCACCTTCCTGAGAACAATTACAATATAAAAATATATCTGTCTACCCGTCTGCGTCGCTACTTCCCCCATTTTGCATTTTAATGGGCTGTAATAAAATAATCAACATCACCATTACAACATATCAAAATTCTACTGTGAAATATAGGTCTCTTCCATAGTTTTCTTCATACGGAGGAAAGGTCTACGAGGTAAATATGCATTTTATTAATACGTATTTCAAAATAGATACGTGACAAACGTGCATGACTCGTTCATTTAACCTGGGTCGCATCAAAGTATTGATGATTGGAATTACATTTTGAAGGATACGGATCAAACGATTGACAAGACCTACGACCAAAGTGACCATCATTATCGATCGAGTCTTACAAATCACAGATTACTGAACTCAAATCCATTTGAATGATTGACCCGTTTGAATGATTGACCCGAGTGTCCCGGTTTGTTAGACGAATCAATATTTGAATCTAACTAAAAATCAATGAATGACACATGTTTTTATATTTTTGAAATAATATAGATATTAACCTCCTGTTTACTATTACAAGTCTTCAACTAATCAAATTTAGTATAGAAATTCCTAAATGACATATGCGCAATTAGTTAAAGAGACAAAGTGGATTACTTTGCCAGCCCTTGTACGATAATCGGATTTAGGTCTGCGTTTAATATCTTCAAATGGACGTAGGCTGTTGGCAAGATATAGTAACTGTATTCTACCTAAAGCGGGCAGTGATTTAAATTACAAATATATGGTGAAATTTATTAATAAACTGTGTCAACTAATCTTAATCGACTTTGTTTTTTATTTTAATTTTTTAGTTTATATTGTATGGGACCACAAATGCTACAACTTATTTAAAAAAATATATCGGTACACCTGTATATGTACCTGTACCTGTATATGTGCTCAAAGTCTCTCTCTCTCTCTCTCTCTCTCTCTCTCTCTCTCTCTCTCTCTCTCTCGTTACCATGCTACCATGCTTATACTTTAGTATGCTTATTTTAGCCTTAACTGATCTAAGTTTCCCACATACACTTTCTACCTAGTATGTATCTTAACAAATTCTAGTGAGCTATAAGTACAATTCTGATAGTGTGGTCTATGCAAACAATTGTGCTCATGGGCTCTGGGGGTGAAATAAGATTTAAGGTATGGTGAATGGATATGCAATGTTTTAGGTTTTGTGATAATTTATAGCCTG